CTGAAAGGCTGTTTGGCGAGTGCTCTGAAAATTGCTAAATCCGTTATCTGTCCGTCCGTCAGACTGTCTGCCCGCTTTAATTCACGCCGCCGCGAGATGCCGTCGGGGATGTTCTGAAAGCAGGGAGATGTGATCGTTCCAGACACTGCGGCAGGCTGCACATTTACTTCCTTAATTCCCTTCCAATCGCCCTGTGCTCTCCTCTTTTTGCTGTTCCATCTCCTCTCCTGCCTCTCTTTGGCTCAGCTTTCTCTCTCCCTCTGCCTTCCTGTGGCTGCCCATTGCCCCCCCCCTTCCCACCTCCTGACCTCCCTCCACCTCCCCATGCCTCGTTTGAGTTCGCTCAGTCTGACTTTTCTAAATCGAGTCTGGAAACTCGCTTTCGGGAGCAACGGTAATAATTGTGCGAATTACTCAATTGGGATCACACAGCAGCAGCAGCATCACCCCCTGCTGCGAAAACTTAGCAGGACCCTTCTAAAAAAAGAGTATTGAGACTTTCCTGGGTAAGCAAGCAGAATTTAACTAAGTAATACAACTCAAACTGGGTTTTAAAACTGTTTGCTGTACTGTCATCTCTTGGTCATCTGCTAGCCTAGCAGATGTTTGAGTTTCACAAATCTATACGTAAGCCTCCAGCCCTTGCCTCCAAAGCGCCGAGTCACGCTCTTGCCTTTCTTTCACATTAATCTCAATTCACACTCCCTCTGTTGTTAGCTATCTTATGCTGGTTGTATTAATGAAAACAAATTACAGTACAATCGATTGCTTCTGGAGCTCAACACATTCTCTTCTGCTAACACTTCCATGGAACAGAAGAATACATAACAAGCTCAGTGTTTCAGACACTCGCTGTTTTTGTGAGTACTATTTATGTATGTAAGCCACACGATGAGCGTATTTTATATGTGCCGGTGCAACACTGCCAACACATTCTCGTAACGTTGTTTTTGTTCTTATTGTGTAATTTCCCACTGCTGTGAATCTGTGGGTCTCTGAATCTATGGTTTTCTTAGTGAGTCTGTAGGTCTCCGTGTCATTCTATGGGTTTATTGGTACATCTTTGGGTCTCAGTTTGTATCTGTGGGTCTATATGTGAGTCTACAGGTCTCTGTGAGTCTATGGGTCTCCGTGAGTATACGGGTCTCTGTGTGAGTTTATTCATCTCTGTGCGAGTCTCTTGGTCTCTGTGAGTCTATGGGTCTCTTTGTGAACCTATGGCTCTCTGTGTGAGTCTATGGGTCTCTATGTGAGTCTGGGTCTCTATAACTGTCTGTTGTTGTTGTCGACCTGTATCTTCCCACTGCTGGGTAAAGGCCTCCAACAATTACTTTGATTTATTTTCCTCATTTTAGCAAAAGAAATCTAATTTTGTATTTTGAACAGCAACACAAACAACTGAAGAAGGGCACACACTGTCCAGATGACTTGCATTAACATGCGTAATGGTCGAGGTCCCTAGTTAGGATCTAGGAAACAATGTGGGCCACGGTTGATCTCTTTATGTCAGCTGTGCGCTTGGAAGTGTCTCTCCACACCATTCTGCTCAGTCCGCTATACATATAAATATCTAGCCAGTGGATGGTGGTGTATCCGCTGCCATTTTGGTGGTTATAACATCAAGGGATGCTCTTAAACTCACTCTTAATGCCACACTTGCAACCGTGACTTGCAACTCTGAATCTGCGGGTGTTATTTTTCTCATCTTCGTATGATGGTTTAACAATTTCTGTTATTTTTATTTTCCTCTCTATCATTCTGTTGTTTTGTTTGAGTTTGCGTACGATTGTTCAATTCATCTGACCGTGTAACTTCCTCCGTAATCTTCCGTCATTGGCGACCCCATCTTGGGGGGGTGGGGGGGGCTGGACACCTGAAACCGGAGTCTCGTAGCTCATCAGCCTCTTCCAGCCAACATCAAATACCTCACTGTCTGTGTGCAGCTGGGGTGAAAGGCTCAAGGTAAAATAAATCAAGCGGGCTCTTTCTGGGAACTTGTTACACAGCGGAGAGCTTCGTGTTTTGTGTTCGCGATGACCCTCAGCCACGCAGCGCTGCCTGGCTCCTCGCGTCTTCTTAATCGCCGCGACACCACCGCTCGTTTGCGCTGTGCCAGCTATACCGCTCCCTCCTTATTAGACGAATCATGGTTCTTTGTGTTGAATCATCTTCACTGATTTTTTAATCCTGATTTGTACTATCGTCGTCATGTCGCTAGATGGAGCATCCGCCATCCGTCCGTTCGGATCTCTCGCTTCGAAGTGAGATCCGTTTGCATTTGAGAACAATGACCCATGCCAGCTGGGTGGCACAAAGCAACCTATCTAAGATGCCTTCAAGTGACCCAAGTTTCACACAGCGGTGGGCAACATTCTCGCACCCACTCTGCCACATGATAGAGTAATTATTCGTCACAGGGTAGTAAGAATGGATACTTTTGGTTCTTTAGGTAAAGTCAGGTAGGTATAAAATAAAATAAATCACGACGTTTCGATTGCAACACAAGCAATCATCATCAGGTGGGAAAAGTGGGAGAGAGATGCCGTGGTAAGAGGTTATATAGGTTAGAGAGGGGGGAGGGGCAAGGGGGGAGAGAGAGGGGGGGTGGTGTGGGGAAGGGTGAGGGGAGCGCTGCGTGGACGCGAGGAGAGGGACATGAAGCTGGACGGGGGGATTTGGGCGGGGCTGGAAGTGGGAGGCCGAGTGAGCTGGGGATGCGAGGGGGGGGGAAGTTAACTCGAAAAAATAGAACAGTACCCTGCAGATATGATAGACAACAACCATAAAGCACTTAGGGTTTTACCTGGCTAATAACATCCTTCCAATGATTTCTCAATTTGTATCCATCTTCTCGGTTGAAGTTATGTCTATGTTTATATATCTGGATGGCTTCATGAACAAACCTTTTGATAGTAGCCCGAAGGTTTGCAGAGTACCTTGGTCTCAGAAAACACAATATCATGCCAGCCCACAGCGTTATAACAATGGTCAGCCACGGCAGAGGTATTGGTTCTGCCGTGTTTCAGATCTGCCTTGTGTTCGCGGACACGGTCCGAAACATGTCATTTCGTTTCCCCGATGTAACTGCTGCCGCAGGTACAACTCAGTTTGTAAACTCCAGGATATTGCATGTCAGGAATGACATCCTTCACAGATGGGATTAGATCACGGATTTTGTGTACTGTATTGAATCGGACCTGGGTCTTGTGTTTATTTAAGATTTTGGAAATCTTTTTGGTAACACCTGTTATGTATGGTAACATGATGGTTTTGATTGGCTTCTCAGGGGGAGAAACAGCTTTGCGAATAATGCGGTCCGAGTACCCATTCATCTTGAGGGCCTGGTGTACGTGTTCCAGTTCACTGGCTAGGTGGTGTTGGTCGGAAATGCAGTAGGCCCTGTGGTGTAGTGTTTTGATGAGGGAATTCTTCTGTGCCGGATGGTGGTGGGAATCAGGTTTTAGATAGGAATCTGTGTGGGTGGCTTTCCTGTAGACAGTGTCCCAATGAGCCATCAGGTCTCTTCTCAAACAAAACATCAAGGAATGGTAGCTTACCATCCTTCTCCACTTCCATGGTGAATTTGATGTATGGGTGTATGGAATTTATGTGGTTGAGAAATTGGTTCAAAGCTGGCAGGCCACGTGGCCAAATGACGAAAATGTCATCCACATATCTCTTCCACAAGGAAGGACGTAGGGTGGATGTCAGGATGGCATCTGTTTCAAATTTCTCCATGAAAATATTTGCTATTACTGGTGATAAGGGGGAACCTATGGGGGTACCTTCATTTTGGTTGTAGAAAGTACCATTCCAGGTGAAGTAAGTGTTGGTAAGGCAGTGCCTAACCAAAGTAGGTACATCAGGATTCAGTCCATGTTGGACGAAGTCTTCAATTATTGCTAAGGTGTCAGGTACAGGAACCTTGGTGAACAGAGAAACTACATCAAAGCTGACGAGCAAATCAGCTGGGGAGAGTGAAATGCCCTTGATTAGCGAGACCAAGTGAGCTGAGTTACGTACTGCTGAGGTAGTCTTGCCTGTGAATGGAAGCAAGGTGTCCCTCTCCTAGCATCCACGCAGCGCTCACCTCCCCCTACTCTCCCCCCTTCTCTCTCCCCCTTGCCCCTCCCCCCATACCTATATAACCTCTTACCACAGCATCTCTCTCCCACTACAGCAAAAAAAAAATCTTGCTGTGGGTTTCCCACCTGATGGTGATTGCTTGTGTTGCAATCGAAACATCATGATTTATTTTATTTTATACCTACGTGACTTTACCGAAAGAACCAAAGAGTATGGATTCCTACAGTCAATGAAAGCTTCAAATCTAGATTAAAAATGAACAGTTTTACTTTACAGTGTTGACAACGAGCGAAATTAAGTGCACAACCAGATTTAATGTGATGGGATGTTTTTGTGCCGTCATTCGTGACCGGGCTGGGACTATCAACTGGCTATACCTGGGAACCCGTTTTAATCCCAGGTCGGTTGATACCTGGATTGGAACCCAGGCTCTCATCGGTGCCGGTTCACCGCTCTGACCTCTGACCTCGCACAGCTACCTCTAGTTTGAATGATTCTTTAGATGTATGGAATCATGCGTGTGAGAATCAGTAATGTTTGTATTTGCCTCACTGGTGCGCAATGGCTTAACGTGGCCCCCTGCAGCCACTAGATACGCTCCAATTCACCGCAATGTAAACAAAAGTAAATTTATTGGATAGAATCGTGACGGAATCAGGACAGCTGATCGAATGTCTGTGAGGGTGATTCAGTCCACGTTCGCTCCAACAACTATTGGGATGGATCTTTTTAGCGGCGCTTTTCTCTGATCTCGTGGTGGTGGGGGGCGGGGGAGTTCAAGGGTTTTAATGACGGTTGACTCTCGTCCCGTCCGCCCGTGACGCCCGACTGCTCGCCCACCCGCGTCGCCGCGTCAACCGTCGAGTCCACCTCCCTCCCCCGACTCTCTCCCGCGTGTCTCCTCTCGCGCGAAGGTTCATCAAGGAGACGGAGCAGGCGATGGGCTACGGGCCTGGCAAGCAGTGCACCCTGCGCGAGTTCCTCACGCAGTACGTCAAGAACATCTTCCTCAACCAGGTGCACCTGGAGATCAACAAGGAGATTGAGGCCGTCACCAAGGTGGCCGATCCCCTCAAGATGCTGGCCAACGCCGACACCATGAAGGCCCTCGCCGTGCAGAGGCCTTTGCTGCAGGTGAGTCGCGGCCTCGCGCCCCCGGTCACTCGGGCGAATGCGACTCCTGCATTGGGTCCTTGAGTTCTCAGCTGGTCCAACAAAATCAACTCGGACTTTAAACGTCTGCCCATGTGCTTGCAATGGGGTTTATGTTTATTTCATTTTTAATTAAATTTGTCTCTGTAATAGCATGTGTGTGTATATATTGTTTAATTCGTTCCTGCATTGTGCCTGAATTTGTCCTTATCTCTTCACACCACGCAGCATTCAGGTAGGTTATCTTCTCGTGTAATTTACTTACCCTGTACGTGTGTTACATTTGTAAGCGCACGATCGTGTGCGTCTGTGCACGTGTCTGTACGTGCGTGCGCGTATGTTTAACCTTGAGTGTTGTTTACGAGTTCAAGACATTTGCCGAAGAGGAACAAATAGCCACTCTTCCCAAGGCATATTCGCTTAATGTTTTCATTACATTGTATCAACAGACACACACACACATCGACATGTCTTTCTACGCTATAGGTAATATATATATATGTTCCTTTTAACAAAACCCACATTTGCCAAAGACATTCATAACGGCATACTCTTAGCATTTAAATATACGACACCCATAAAATTAACTTGGTAAATGGTTCCACGTGTGACTGCCAGCGGCGCGATGTGGAGGAGTGCGATGGGTGGGTGGGGGGAGGTGTTGGGAGAATGGAGGCGTCGGGTAGAGTGGGGCGGGGGGTCACTGGGGAGAGAGGCGGTGGTGGGGAAACTGGGCTGGGTTCTAGCATGGGTGGTGGTGGAGGAGGAGGTTGGAGATCGACTGAGGGTGGAAAAGAGATAACGATTTCCCTCGCTCATTCCAGTAGTACCAGGCAGAGTGAAGGAGCAGTTTTCTCGTTAGAGGCGCCACCGCTGCCTGTCGACCGAGTCTCAGCCCGGCTTGCCGTACGTGGGGCTCTGCTGAAAAGTTCTCGCACTGGTCGACGTCATGAGGTCATTGTGTGGTCAACCAGATGAGTTGGGGCTTTCGGAGAAGCCTCAAGTGGGATTGTGGACAGAAGCGTTTTCTGGTTGTACCGAGTGTACGACGTTTCATTCCATGTGCTTAAAGCTTCTTTAGTTCAGTTGCTGAAGAAGCTGGCAACGCGTGAACCGAACCGTCCGACATCACTCCGAGCGGCAAGCGTTGCAACCAGATAATGCGTGGGAGAGCCATATAGCACGAACACCTGCGTGGTATGCACAGGCTGTGATTCATATCGTGAAGGAGGAGGATTGGTGTCTGAGCAGACTCGATTGAAGACTCTGATCACTGAACACTGCAGATGGTGACACTGTGGCCTAGCCTAGCCATGCACACTTACACCGGCAGAAGAAGTTATACCAGAAAAACCACCGCGGCAGAGAGGAACGATATTTCTGGTTACCCAGCGCGTTGCGCCGGCTCGGTTACGTGGCCAGCACCAGCGAGCAAGTGGGTAAACCATCTCACCCGACACGTTGCCCCGGCCGCCCCAGCAGCGTCACCCTCATCGCCGTCTCTGCGGACAGTGCTGAGAAGCGTGCAGCGCAGCTCCTGCGCCCTCACAAGCCGTGCGTCGCTCCCAGTGGGCGATGCGAGCCGTCCGACACGGTGGCTGCTGCGGCGAGGAAACAAAACCCGGGGCCGCTCAACCGTGCGGCTGCTCAGAAAGCCGCTTGCGCTGTGGCTTGGTGGTTCTTGTAGGACGAAGCCCTAGGAGAGTGGGGGGGGCGGTACTGTGTCGCGTACGTTGGCGGAAAAGCGTTCGATGCGCCGTCGTGAAAAAATACGCGATTGATAAGCCGCGCATCCGATTTCCACGCATCCAATTTCGCGGCTCACATCTCCATTGTACGGCTTCCTTCGAGGCAAGATGTATTCTGAGCCCCCGTGTCAAAACACCACATTGTTCCACACAAAACGCGCCTCTTGCGACCTCTATCGTGAGCAATAACTGTGTAATTTGCTGCGCGGGAGCGGCGGTGATTCCGTGTTCCTCCGGCATGCATAACGATAAAAAGCCGCTCCCTCTGCCATCTGCTCGCACGCGTCACGATGGCTGCCGCGCGGTCCCTCTCTCGCCCGTTAACTTCGCCCGCACGCCGCGGTTCGAGCAGCCGCGGCCAGCTGTCGCGCGCGATCGGCATGAAGCCGACGCGCTTTCTTGAACAAGGAAAACACGGAGCGGGGTTAAACAGGCGTTTCATATTTGCTTTGCCACCGAGCGACCCCACCCCCCCCCCCCCCCCCCCGCGGATGCGTGCGAGCGAGCGTGCTATTGTGCACGAGCGTACGCGTGTACACGAGGAGGCTCGTTGGCGAGCCACAACGTTATAGTGAGCCACGTGCAATGCGTGGCTCGCTGCAGCGAGCCACAGGACCCGCTGCAGCGAGCCACAGGACCCTTACAGGCTTTTTGCGGTGACCCATCCGACCGGCCCAGCCAATACCAATAACCCGTATATACCCGACACAGCCCAAACCAGTAAGCCACACAACCTATAGAAGCTGTCAGTGAGCCACACAGCCCTTCACAGTGAGCCGCGTGTCCCTACTCGTCACCGTCTCTGTTGCTGCTTCCTGCTCTGTGTGGGGGTTCCGTGTGCAGCAAATCTCACTTCAAGCCAAGCAGCTCAATTTGTTACTCCTGGCATCTGTTTTCCTCCCGTCACCGTGAGTCATTTATGTATTTATTTTGTTGTTTTTCATTACACATTTTACCGAGTCAGCAGCGCCCCCCCCCCGTCCCCCATGGGGGGTCGCCGCAAGCGTGTGCCGATGGTGCGGCACGGCACAGCGGCCGTGCCAATGGCCCCGGTCTCCCCGCACACTTAGAACAATTATTTATTTATTTCTAAATGACTCGATGCCAATTGCGCTATCAGCAAGATGTCACGAAGTGAGAAGTCGTCTTTGAATTCTCACAGATGCGGTGCGATATCCGCTGTTGTTAGAGAACGGCCACGCATGGGTGATGTCACGGATCTAATTATAACCCTGAGGTCCCTTCATCGTTATCATCGCCGTCACCCACGTTAATCCACTGCTGGATGGAGGGCTTCCCAATCTAGGAGGGGCCTAGGAATGAATGGTGCATGGCTGATGATGTTGTTGGTCCAGACAGAGAGGAGCGGTGGCGTGGTGGTGAGCGCACCGCGCTGTGAACCCAGGAACCTGAGTTCAATATCTGCACACAGCCAGCATCCCTGCCACGGTGATATCCGAACTGGTACTGGATGCCGTCCAATTCACCAGCCCTTATGACTGACCAGCGTGGTAAAGTATGGTCAATCAACCTTTATAATCAACATGGGCATGAGGAGGCTTTCATCTAGCAGTGGATTGAGAAAGGTCTGTACAATACGGTGTTCTCATTGTCGAAAATGCCATCTCCTTTTATCACTGAAGGGTGGCGGCTACCAATCACTCCGTCGCACCCTTCACGAGCCTCTCTCTCGTTTTGAAGGGGCTGATCCAGACACGGCTGGCACGAGCCGTAGGCAGCTCCGACGAGTTCCAGGTCGACCTGTGCCAAATACGTTCACCTTTTCTCCATCCGACGCCGCACCCCGCCATTCCCTGCTGTCGCACGCGGGACTGATAAGCTCGGCATGTGCAATAATACGCCGTTCACTTGGACGGTAAACCCTCGCGCGGAGATATACTCTTGCACTTCTTCATTATCGCTAATGAAAGAAATGCCTCCCAGCTGTAGCGCATTAATTGTGTGCCAAGATTCACCTCTTCCCCCCCCCACTCCCAGCTCATCGATCACCGAGATTCACGTGTGAGCGTACGGCGCTGCCGAGTGTCACCGCGTGCCCCGGCACTGATTAACGTCCTCCTTATCCGGAGAGAGAGGAGGGGGAGGCGCGGGCGTTGTACAGGCCAAGATCCACATTCCCGCAGTCGGCGTCGTCATCCTCGCTGATTCTTAGCCTCCACCGCCTGCCCCCCGTGCGAACGTGTCTGCTGTGCCATGTGCCTGAAGTGTTGTACGGACGGAGTGGAACCTCGTGAGATGTGCCCACACGAAAGAACAAAATGGGCCGAGAGCAGGCCCAAAGATCCCAAACGTGAAATGGCCAGCAATGAACGGCACCTGGCAAAGTTGTGACATGTAACACGTTTCTTAAATTCGGACAGGTTATCTTATTATTCTCAAGAGCTTTGGGGAAAAAGGCGATTCCAAATTGGAGCAGCAGTGCAAGTAAATAAACAAAAACAGAATCATTTGAGAGTTCTGGATCATCAATCACGCTGACTGAGTAGTATCCAGGCCTCTGCGCAGGGATGCAAATTCATGAAACGTTGCATAAACAAAATACTCACGAGATGACCCTTCTCTTTGCCACCACCCCTTTTACTTAGCCTTGTAAGGATTCTGTGATTAGAATCCTCTCTTACAATCACGATCATCGTCATACGCCATAATCTATCCACTGTTGGATGAAGCCTCCCCAATTCGTCACCATCCCTCGTGGCCTGTAGATACACAATCCGCCTGGCTCCTGCACGCAAGCTGACTTTGTTGCTCCATCTCCGCACTGGGTGTGTTATTGGGCGTTTCCTCATTTGGCTGCTACTCTGTTGTTAGTCTCGACTACCGTCCGTCATTCTCTCCAGCGACGTGGCCTACCCAAGCCCATTTATTCTTCTGAACATTTAAAACTCTTGCTCTAATTTGTTTATGTTCTCCTTTTGACGCATTCCCCTTCTCCTTGCATTCACCTCGCCAAGTTCAGCGTTTGATCTTTGTGGATGTTCGTGTATTCTAATCCTCAGGTCATAGCAGGTAATCTGCACTCCTCGCACGGTACATGCATCGAATTTTCCTGGCAAGAATCAGTGACTGATTTACAATGAATACAAGTTGTGTGTCACTCATTGAAGAAAACTGCAGATTCAGATAACAGTAATAACAATAATGCCAGTTATTTACCTAGGAAATCCTCCTGGAGCCTCAAAACTCGTGTTCAGGAGGGTCCTGCATTGGGAT